GGAAGTGTGTCAAGATAGCAGGTTGACGATTTTAGGTGCTGCACTATTTCTTCCAAAAATTTTGCTATCAATTGCTTAAAAAATAGACATAGTATCTTCTAGTTCCACATTGAAAGCATGAAGGCTGTCTTTATAGATGCTATAGTGAATTTCAAGTTTCGTCTTCCGCCGCATCTGTTCAGCTTTTCTGCAGCGACCAAAAAAGCTTTCGTATTTCATTAAAAATATCTTAATTTGTGTTCTGAAGATGAACGAAGAAGGTCTTACAGGTTTGGAATGACATGAGGGTGAGTAATTAATGACAAAATTTTCATTTTTGGGAGAACTATCCCTTTAATAAATGTGTGATTAGTCACTTTACTTGTCACTCGGATGTTCCTTTCCTATCTTAAGTGGGTGACAGGCCAAAATAAGTTGTAATATGATCCAGACTTCATGCTGATAGTCAAATCTCTAGTTAGGTGAGACTTGGTCTCAGGTGTTGTTCTTTTATTGCTGAATGGGCTTTTCCATTGTTTTACGGGGATGTCAGTCTGGAAGTGCTTTGTGCTGAGTGTGTTTGTGCCTCTATACAAAATATGTCTGAGAGGAGGGCATAAGACAGGCTCTGTCTGTCTTGGTTTGTGTACTAATAAACAGCGCTGGCTCTAATGAATCATTAATGTTCTGTTTACCCAGCTTAATGAAGCACCGCTGATGAGGGCCTGTGTTGTGTATGCATGTGAATGTGTGTGGCTGCTTTGTATGCAGATAAAGACTGAAACAAGAGGGAATAGTGAAAGAATGCATTTGTTGTTGTTTTTTCTCATAATGTGAATATGTGAAAGTGGTAGAAAAGGAGCGAATGATAAGTGTTATTTTTCAGAGTTTGTGTTTGGGTATGTTTGGTCTAATCTGTTAAGTTAATGACTTAATGTCTGTGTGTGTTTGTGTGAAACTCCTATCGATTGTTGTTAGCTCCGTGTATTCCTTTGGCTCTAGTTCACTCTAATCTTTCTGTCAATGATGCCCTTGTCATCCAATAACTGACTGGTTGTCATGGAAACGCATTTGTTCTCACATAGACCTGTCAGTCATTCAAAGAGTTCTAATGAGTTGTTTTGCCTTTGATGTGAATGCAGAGAATATCAGCTCCAGAAATACAGCGCAGTGTTGGGTTTCCTCCAACGTACAGTGTAAGGAATAACTTTGATTCCCTATTGGCTCTTCATTCAGCTTGCAGAAACTTACCAACATCCACTTTTAGATGAACTTGAGATCATTTAGCACCAAATTATTCCTGTAAGTTCACGTATTGAAAGGTGTGTGGCATGTAGGCTAATATTGGCCAAGATAATTTGTATGCAAAGATTTGATGAGCTATTAAGGAGATGCAATTTTCGGATGTTGTACTGTAGTATATCCTAACACCTGGGTAATGCTGCTTTCAAGTCCTTGTACTTATTAACTTGAAAGATGTTATATGGTATGAAATAAAAAGTGATTTTGTTTGGAACAACATGGGCATGTTTGGGCCTTTTCGTAGTTTTCACTTAAGACAGAAAGCATTTAGCACTAATGTAGCAAAAATGAAGAGCAAAGAATGTGCATTAGGTGGGTAATTGATGCTGTATCTGTATTTTATCATATTTGTGCAGGGAATATAGTTTTGTCGCACAAGCCTGTCACCTCGTAAACAGGCTAAATTAGTCGTTTATTCTTGCAAGCTTGTAATAGTTTTTCATCAGTGGTACACAAAATGCAAAAGGAATAAATTTTGCTGTCAAAATTCACATTAAAACAGAAACTCAGTAATATTTTTTGCTCATTAAAATGGGTTACACACACAAAAAAGGATAATACTTTGGGGAAAAATGTTCAAACTCATATTAGAAAAAGTGGTGATTCTCAACCAGGGGGCCGGGGCCGGGGCCCACTAGAGGGCCTCAGCAAACTTCCAAGATGACTTAAAATTATTTAAAGTAAACCAAAACAAATAAAAATCTGCATATTTCTTATTTTAATTCAACCCTCAACATTTTTATTCTTTCATTACAGAGTCAGGATATATGAGAAAGCCTAATTTTAAAAGTGTGATGTATAGACCTCGAAAAGTCATGTATAATAATACATATAACTTCACTGGCATTATAATGAATATAAATTTTTCTAGTTATGCTAAGCTCTAAAAAGAATGTATTGGGTAGAAATGATGAGTAAAAAAAATTATATTTAATCCTTATCCAGTAAATCATGAAAAACTGGAAAAGTCATGAGGCCTTTGAATATTATTGTGGTTTTGGAGTCAAGGTTGAGGACCACTGAGATAAAGATAATTGTATTGGTAGTCTTATAAAAGCTGTTTTATTTTACATGCTGTGGGTTGCCTCATGAGGGCCACAATTTTGAGATTGCATGACCAGCTTGATTCTTGGAATTACTTAATCATCTCTTACAGTGCATAGTGTATTTCTACAATTGCATCAGATTATTATTATTTTTTTTAATCTTGATGCTGCATCTACACCATTAGTATAAGTCAGGGATTGTCCAGCACTACATAAACAAAAACTGACTGCACATTTAATTGGCCATTTGGAAGATTGCGGCTAAAAGAAATCCTAGAGAGTTCCAACTGACATTGTTGTGTGCAGTTTCATGTGAAGTTAAGTCTTAAATTTGATAATTCAGATGTGGTTTAAAGGCTTCATACTTGAAGTAATTTGCTGTCACCAGCACATTGTACTTTTTGTCCTTCTGTCTTTGGACAGGAGTTGGCGCTTTGTTGTTTGTTAACACTTCTGAAGTCCGTGTCTGTGCCACGTTGAATCTGTCAAATGAAATGTGCCGTTAATTTATGTAATCCTGTGTAAAAGGTGTCTTCCCAATGGGCTAATGCTCTTATCTCTGTGATACAGAGTTTGTTTATGTGTATGAGAGAGAAAGAGGGAGCACAGATGAATATTCTTCCATCTCTTTGACAGCCTCTCATTGATATCTCATGGATGAGATTAAAATCTCCTAGGACTGGCAGTGCTTCTAAATTGGCACGAGTGCTTCATCTTCAGCTTTTCTTTGCCACGTGTAAGCCTCCGGCATGTCACGCAAGCAAACTGACACTTCCCTTTGTTTGGAGTCCTGTCAGCAAGCGTCTGCTCTCTCCTGACTGTCAGTCAGAGCTCAGCTCTACTCCAGCGTCACAAGAGCTGCGGCACGCTGCTGACAGCTCCGCCGCCGCAGAAATCAAACTCTCGCAGTCAATGCGTCTCAGAGAGCGGGAAGGGAATGTGTTGTTGTTTGTCTGGGAGTGTGTTTGTTTCGTTACAGAGCTACATGAAGGCATGCTGTGAAGCAGTCTGTTTGCATATTCACAACACGTTGCGCTCTGGTGCTCATATGGATGACAAGGTTTGAATTCAGCTTGCAACATTTTCAAACCACATTCCCCGTTTTTTCCCCAGACACTCTCCACTCGGGATGGGCATGTGCAATCAACTGGTAGATTTGGAAAAAGTTGGAAAAAAGCGTCAGTGAATTTTTCAAATGGTTTTTGACTTTGCATTTGCATTTTGCATTTAGTCATTTAGCAGATGCTTTCATCCTAAGCGACTTACAAATGAGGACAATAAAAGCAGTCAAAACGAACAAAAGAGCAAAAATATATAAGTGCAAATTAGGGCTGAACGATTAATTGCATTTGCGATAATATCGCGATATGAAAAAACACGATATTTCAATCGCAGAGACTGCGATTACACTCGGTCACGTGACACGCCAGAGTAACGAGGTGTGTTCCACTTGAAGATCGATCGGTGTAGCCTTTGACATCAAAGTACAGCGAGAGAAAGCATAAGGAGACGTCCGCGCTCTCTTATAGCTCTCGCAGTACTTTGATGACACACCCATCGGTCTAAGCAGCGCTGCTTCAAGTCGAGCGCGGGCCATCAGCAGAAAAAGAAAATAAATAAAACGGTAAACAGCCAAAGGACGTAATTTAGAATGGGAGATGGATCGGTTTGTGAAAGCGAAGAGAAAAGCCATAGATGAAGTCGCACAGACCCAGGCAGGTGCGGGTCGTTTAAAAGCTAAATGCAGAAAATATGACGAGGCATATCTTGATCTCGGCTTCACTCACCGTGTCTATACCGGACACCACAGTTGTCGCGTCGCACCGCAACAGCTCTACACTGGACGCGACAAAGCGACCGTTGCAAATCATTTTAACTTTGTGTCAGTACGTCATAAATAGAACAAGGCATCAGTTTAATGTCGCGTCGCATCCAGTGTACACAGCGTCACTGATTATAACGGTTCTACTGTATTTTGCCGCTCGCGTACGGTGTAGACACGTGTTTAATGTCGTTGGTGAGGAGGAAAGCCCGTGTGTGTCCTATGCCTTAGCAGACAGCATGAAACCCACAAAAAATAA